TAAATTTATTTTTGAATAGCACTAAAATAACTGTAATTTTTACATCATAAGGTATCGGTGAAGCTCACGTAATGATGCAATTAGGAAATCATCTTCAAAATCTTGAAGCTGAAAAGCAAAAATTACGTACACAAGTTAAGCGTCTATGCCAAGAAAATGCTTGGTTAAGAGATGAATTAGCAACAGCTCAAAAGAAATTACATGAATGTGAACAAGCAAATGCTGCTTATTCAGTTGAGATTGAACATTTAAAATTTCTTAAAGAAGTTAAGCAATATGATGTAAATGAAAACAATCCATCATCAAGTAATAACCTACCATCAACAAATGGATCATCGGGACAAGCTATGGATCTTGCCAATGATTTATTTCCAAATGATGATGATATTTATATGGATCAACAAGATATGGGAAGTGGATCGAATCAATCAAGACGATTTGATTCTTATGCTGATTTGACAATGTCTCCATCACAGTCTGCCACTGGTTCATTCGCTTCAACGACTGGTTACGAAATACCAGCTAGATTAAAAACTCTGCATAATTTAGTGATTCAATATGCATCTCAAGGTCGCTATGAAGTTGCCGTACCATTATGTAGACAAGCACTTGAAGATTTAGAAAAAACATCAGGTCATCAGCGTAAGTTTCATATTTATTTACTCATTTCTTACTGAGATAATCGTTTTCTTTCCGTTTGGTATCTATTTTTGGTAGCTTCTAAACAGCATTAGATCCATGAAATAGGAAATAAAATACTCATAGATGATAAAGAAATTCTAATTGTTTTTCTATCTTCTTTAAAATAAATCTAGGACAGTTTACAAAAAAGAAAAGAACTAATTGATTATTTAAAATCTACAATTAAAAAAATAACGATTGGAAATAATCAAATCTTTCTTTTTTCTAAGTATTAAAGTCTCGTATATATTCTAATATCACTGTAAAATTCTTCGTGAGTGAACTAAACTTGTTTTCGTGTTTTTCACATCGTCATGTGAAATCGAAATGCAATGTTTGCAAACCGAAATAATGGTGCATCGAGAAATTCAATGTTCTATATAGCTAAAAAGGTTGATATTTTCATGCAATCAACCTATCAATACATAGTAGATTTATATTCGCTTAGAACTCCTATTAGTAGAATATATCTAAAAATATTTGTCTAGATCCGGATGTTGCTACAATGCTCAATATTCTTGCTCTTGTCTATCGTGATCAATCAAAATTTAAAGAAGCTGGTATTTTACTCAATGATGCACTCGCTATTCGTGAAAAAACTCTTGGACCTGATCATCCAGCTGTAGCAGCTACATTAAATAATCTAGCTGTTCTCTATGGTATGATATTGACAGATTCGATCAATGAAATGTTAATTGTTTTTAATTTAGGCAAACGAAATAAATTTAGAGACGCTGAGGTGTTATGTAAACGTGCGCTTGAAATTCGAGAAAAATGTCTTGGATCATCACATCCCGATGTCGCTAAACAACTTAATAATCTGGCACTACTTTGTCAAAATCAAGGAAAATACGATGAAGTTGAATCATATTATAAACGTGCTATTGAAATATATACAAAAACATTAGGCATAGATGATCCAAATGTAGCCAAAACAAAAAATAATCTTGCTTCAGCTTATCTCAAACAACAAAAATATAAAGAAGCTGAACAGATCTATAAAGATGTATTAACACGAGCACAAGAAACAGAATTCTCAAATAAAAATGCTGCTATTTCCCAGCAACAACAGCAACAACAACAACAAGAAACTCAAAAAACTCAACAATCAAAACCTGGATCATCATCAGCAGGAAATTATGATGCACAAGGTGGATGGTATAAAACAATTTTAACCGATCAACCAACAGTAACAACAACATTAAAAAATCTTAGTTTATTATATCGACGTCAAGGAAAATTTGAAGCAGCGGACACGCTAGAAAACTGTGCAACTAAAGCACGAAAAGATCCACAAGCAATACTTCAAGCACTTAATTTTGTTAAACAAACAAATTTAACTACGCAGCAACAGCCACCACCATCAACATCTTCATAATTTTTCTGTTCTTTCTTTATTTTCACCATTCTGAACAGTGGAATATTTCTATTGATCATCCAGACTTTTTGCTCTTTTTTATCTTTCGTGTTCATTTTTAACTTTCATGAAAATTTATTTCGAACTCAGATTCATTTCATTTCTCTTTTGTTTATCCTACTTGCTATGTATATGTTCATTGTATCAAAAAGCTATAAGCAGTCCAAATAAACATAAAACTCACTTTGCCTTCCATACTGATTATAAACATTTTAACTGTTTGATGAGAAGTCATAAATCAAACTCTACTAGAAAACGTTGAGAGTCATTGAACAAAACCTCTACACCAGCACGAAGAAAATGAATGAATTAGTAAATCATTCTATACTAAATATATATGAAATCGAAGTTCATATAGAATATTAGTATGTGTAACAATATAGTTCTATATGAGAACCCGAAAGAATTTCTGTAGCTAATCAAATTAATACAATTTTTATAGTGTGATTTCATAATGATGTGGGGTGTTTACAAAACATTAAATGTGGTGAACACTTTTAGTAACGACGAATATTCTATTGTTTCGTTTACAGATGAAAAATTATTAGAAAGAGACAGAGAAATCTAAAATAATTCTACAATTCGATCGTCAAGTAACATATAGTTTAAGAAAGCAGAATAACATAGCTGTATAAACAAATAAACAAGTTCAATGAATAGCTCGCTGAATTAGGATTGAGTATTTCCGATTTAAAATTATGCGCATATAGTTAGTTTATGACTTATTCTAACCATCGGGTATTCTATTCAATATTTTCATCGCTAAAGAATACTTTTTTAAATCAAAGTTATTATATAATATAACAGACGCGATCCCTTCTTCATAATCCAATCATAATGCAAAACGGTAAGAATAAAACAAAAATTTTCATCAATATACTAAAGTACCTTTCGAGTTTGTCAGCTTTTTTTGTGGAAGCTAAAATACTGAACGATATTCAAATCGTTCGAAAATACTATAAACTTTTGAATCAACTTCTTCACTGTATTGTTCTTGTGTATGATCCAAGAGAGTTGCCAGTACATTTAGTAATGCTCGCCTGTTACGGTACAAATGCATCGAAACGAACAGAACATTATTACTAACATCGATACTCTCGTCTCTTTTTTATCTGCATGCAGATGTTGTGAACAGTTGGAGTGTACAAAAAACTGCAATTTTGACCTGTTTCAATGCTTTTCAGGGGGCTCTCTCCCCATCACAATTAAATAACAGAGCTTTTATTAAATATAATCATTTCCTTTTCTTTTACTAATAAGACCAACAATACATCTTATATACAACTATACACTGAAGTGATGTGTGTAGTGTAGAAGTACCGTATTTTGTTTATGGACAAAAATTTATAGAAGAATGAAGTGTTTGTTAGAAAAAATCCAACAAAATGTATTTACGTGATCAAATGAAAGACGATAGAAAGGATTGCAAATAACCAATACTAAAGAAAGAAATGGTACGTATTAGTGTGCTGATCCAAGAAACTTTATGGATAATTGGATCCATGAGAAAACAGCTGGGTGCTGTGTTTATCGGAACAGATGCACACCGATATAAGAAAAAATTAGAAGACCGCAAGTAGACTGAAATTAATATTCTATTATATCATTGATGAGAAAATATATGTAAGCAAGTTTACCAGTGTTAGAGGAATATGTCAGAAGACATCTTTAAGTGAACCAAATTAATGAGACTTCATTATGAAAGATAATTTAAAGACCCTAAAAAGTGCATAATAAAAAATTGATATATTCTTACTAACTAACACATTTAGGAAACTAATCAAACAAAACATTGCTTATTCGAATTCCATGCTTTGTAAAATTGCGCTTTAACTTTATTTATTAATGTTCTCATAGTGTTGTAATTATGGTTATAATATGCAGTCAATACAGAGTGCCAATCATTTAATATATATTCTCACGTATTTTGGTAATTCGGCAATGAAACAAAAAATGAAACATTTCTATCAACTGCCATCCAAAATAGTATCAACAGAGATACATTATTGTTTTTATTTCAAAGATTAGTAAATCGAAGTATTTTAGAATTTGCATAATTCTAGCATTGGGCTATTAAAATCGATTATCGTTTACCTCAATGCATTGAATATAATTATAAAATGTCTATAATCATTTCTAGTTTCGTAATCGATGCTGCTTCCTCTGAATTTGTATTCTCTATCTAGGTGAGTTCGATATATTCTCTACCTGTTTGTATGTTATAGCGATAAATATGAAACTAATTAGGAAAAGAAATAATCACTCTATAATTCCTTTCACTCTATCTTCAATCTTCATCAAAAATCCTCTCTTCTATTTGTCGATTAATTTAGCAGACAACTGTCAACGAAAATATCGTGATTTTTTTTCAGATATAAAAGCGCATGACCCAAACAACATCAAATAAACACTAAAGCAAATGAAAAAAGATTGTGTGATAATATACGTTTGAATTACTGCAACTCATTGCCAATTTCTATTGTTTTTATGGAGAATTCAAACATTGATATCATATGCTGTTTGTTCTATTTCTTTAAAAATTTTGCTGAGACAACTTCATGGTACACTAGTTCATAACTATCTACTATACGTACCACATATACATACATTGTTTCAAATCGCTTTTCCTTTAGAAGAATCTGTCAAGAAAAATGATTTATTAAAAGAAATAAAAATATGAATGCCTACTCTATCGTTGTTAAATATTTACAAGAGCATGGAGATCATCGATGACTCACATTAATTTATAGTTGAAGATAAAAGTTATTTTTATTCTTAATGAATTTTGTAAATGTTTGACTAACTTATATTTATCAACAGGATTACAAAAAAAAAGAAATATAAATGTCTTGACAATCGAAAAATAAACTTTAAAAAAAAATAAGCAAACCCATCTGACTGATCATTTTTTTCTTTCACAAATATGTCTAAGAATATCACGAATAGTTCCTGCTTGTGGCCATAAATTATCAAGAATAAGCTCGGCTTGTTTTCTTTTTGCATCAATACGTTTTCGGGTTTTTTCAATACCTAACAAACTAACATAAGTTATTGTTTGATTTTGCAGATCAATATTTGGTAACTTTCCTGTTTCCTGGATATCTCCTTCTACATCAAGTAAATCATCTTTCATCTGAAATAAAATTCCCATAAGTTTACCAAGTTCACGAAGACGTTCTAATATTATATCTAAAGTTTCATCTTGTTCAACAAGTATAACTGGGCAAATAAGAACAATTTCAATCGCTTTACCAGTTTTTAATTCAGCAATACGATCAAGTTCAAAAATAGTTAATGATTTTTTCAATCTTGCTGCTTGTAAATCAAGAAATTGTCCATGGCAAAGTTCATCCATGGATTGAGATAATTCAGCAGTAACTCGATTAATACTTTTATACGAAAAACCTTGTTGTTTAAGATCGACATTAACTAATCGAATAGCATGTGCAATTAAATTAACAGCAGCTAATTGAGCGCGTCCTTCAGTTAGTGACGATGGTATTTCATCTTTATCACTTTCAATAGACATATGAAGTGTTGGTTGACCTCGCCGCATTGGTGCATTATCTTGTGCTGGTAAATCATCAAATATTAAACTACTCGTATGGAGATATTCTATTGCTCGTGCAAGAGGCATAATACGTTCAATGTCAATATCGTATATTTGTGCAACCATAAGAAGTAATAATGGTCGAAGACGTTTTCCACCAGCTTTTAAACTATGGTTAATTCCACGAACAAGTGCATTATTGTCATTTGTTTTAATAGTTATTTGTTTTTCAATTAAATGTAAATGATCGTACGCAAACGTTTCAACTTTTCGATGATTGAATGAATAATTAATAGCAAATTTATTTATAAAACGAAATATTGACTTTTCTGGATCACTAACACGATCAAATAGATTGATTAAAGATAGAAAATATTTATATAAATTTGGATGTAATTTTGCAGTAAATATTGTTAAAAATTCATTTAAATTATTTTGTAATGATCGTAATGTTCTTATGATTCGACGTCCTAAAAATGCACCTGTATCTTTTTCACGATTACTTTCTAAAAATAAATCTTCACAAACAAATAGAAACACAAAAAATGGATTTAATATTGAATCATTGTGTTCAACAAAATAAGTAACAGGTGTTATAGATTTTTCTCGACGATCTTCATCAAAATCACGACAATCATCAGTTAATTGTCCTAGAAACGGCATTGCCCATAAACGTTGACTATCATTTACCATTCGCGCGCCACCCATGACAGCTGTTGCCGTATAAGTGAAATGAGATTTCAGCAAGGGGCCAATATAAATATCAATATCAATATTATCGTTATTGGATCTTTCCAGATTGCTTTTGTCAGATCTCTGTGAACGAAGAAGTAAAGCAAGATCAGTAAATGTTTGCTCAGTTATAGAATTCATAGATGTTAGTTGTACAAGACTATGAAAGGTTTCGAGTAGCAGTTCAGTTATCGGTATTTGAGGAAGAGATATTTGATCAAATCTCTGACCACATAAAATATGTTCCATTTCGATCAGCCATCTATCCATGTCGATGTGTTGTTCACTTTGATTATCTTGTAATCCATCAACGAGTACATAAGCAACACCATAATAAAAACCCATTTGTAATGCTCGAAAAAATTTATTATCCAATTCATCGTATTCGTTATTTTCAGCAAAACCGTAAAGTCGAGCAACACCAACGCCTATTGTTGTACGAATAAGACGACCAAATGCGCCATTCTTTGTTAAATTGATTGGAAACGTTTGCAAAGCTATTTTCCATTTTTCTAGTAACCATGTCCATTCATCAATATAAATAGTTGGCGAAAGAATTTTATTTGATGGTAAATCAGAATTAAACTCAGACAATTGAAATAGTGATGTTTCTGGTGTATCTGATTGAATTGAATGTATAAGAAGAGAAATTGTATTCAAAAACATATGAATTAATGATATAAATCGTTCGTTTACGAAAGCTTTTTTACTATTTTGATTGCCTAACGAACGACCAAAACGTAAGAACTAAAACATATTTAATAGATTTTAATTGAAAATTGTAAGAAAAAAGAAAATCAAAATTAAATTTACCATAAAATCATCTGCTATATTTTTTAAACTCATTGCATAGGCATTTTTACTTTTAAGAATATATAATCCTTTCGTAAGGATACTTGACGACCTTGAAGCCTTGTGTAATTCATTAGATTTCGGCCGTTTTTTCATTTGTTCCATTCCAAGATTGATCATTTCTTTAAGTACATTTAAATTTGGATACTGTCTTTTTTTATAATTATCAAATATATTTTTTAAATATTCACGTCCCATATGTTCAGCTTTATTATATTCCGAATTTAAATCTATTTTATCTTTATTTTTCAATGGCAGACAATTATTTTCTAATTTTTTTGGTGTGAAATTTTCAATAATACGCTTTTGATAAATTGATAAGAGTTCACTTTCATTATTATTCGAATTGGGAAATAAAATTCTAGCTCTTCGTATTTGTAGATCTCTCCATGCATTATGCTCGTTATTCAATGAAAAACAATCATCTCTTAGAAGTAATTCTTTTAATTCATTTCGAGAATCGATAAGCGATAGTAAATTTGGAAAATGTGAATTAATTCTCTCAAGTGTATCATCAGTCCATTGAAGAATTTTTTCTTCGGATACATAATTTGAGTCGAATCTTTTCGATAAATGTTTCACATCGCGTTTTAAACGTCGACGTATATAAAAGTGTGTTGTTAAATGAAATAGATTCGTAGATTTTTCTTGAGAATATTCTTCTAATTTAGCAAAAACAAATGCTTCTATTTTTTGTCTTTGTTCATATTCTTGTTTTGTATCTTTTGTAATACAATTAATAGAATCATTCGAACTAGGTTGAGAATGAATATGATGACTAATACACGGTAAGAAACAGCATTGATGTTCATCTGTTGTTTTCGGTATAGATTTATCTGCGAGAGAAAAGAAACAAAAACTATCAAAATTGGAGTTATTTAGTGCAAATAAATGAGAAACCAACTTACATTCAGTGTACATGACAGAAGAAAGAATGTTTTGATGTCGAAGACAAAGTGTGTCATTTAAAGGACTTTTACAGAATGGAAGAGAAAAAATAGAGTTTTATATCGTGCTGATTTAACACCAAACGTTGACTCATTTCAAATTCCATTGACGCACTTATACTCTGTTCTCTAAGCTTGTTTTATTATGTAAAACAACATAAAATAGAAGTATTATATCACATGGTTGTAACTACAGGAGCCAATCAAAGTCTAATAAAAAAACAACGCAATATTTAATATTCGAATGTGAATATTAACGAATTACTCATACTATTGATTGATGGCAATAGGTGCCTCCTTTTCACAATTGTTGTCATGCGATGTATTAACAATAGTTGACGTCAAAAATAAATATTACATTAGTAATTCATCTTTTTCATACTTTTTATCGCACTGACTAATTTCAATCTTACTAAAAAATAAACTGAATAGAAGAAAAATTTAATATTTGGTCAAGAACATACTAGGCCAATAGGATTTTTCTAAAAAAACAAATCTCTTTTCGATGAAGTTCTGAATAATGCAATTCAAGACAGTTTTGTTAGAGGTATCAAAATAAAAATTATCGTATGCCAATCTTTTTTTATTTGATTTCATTCGCATTTGTTTTCTTGAAAATATCTTCGCGTCAAAATGAATGTCACGATTTCTGTTATGATTCTGAAAATAAAGTTATATGGTAATAATATTAATCATAAATGGATCAGATTTCAATAGAGATGTCATACTGTTGCAAACGGTTATCTATACTAACTACGTAATAGAAATGTTCCGAATTACAATCAAATGCTAATATATCATTTGTAGATAAACAGATATGATTATTTGATAATTCTGTTTTCAATCTATAACGTTTTTAGCAGTTTATCTGCATTTGTTGTGTCTGACAATATTGATTTTAAGTCGCAGCACTTGGTTCACTGATAAATGTAAAAAACAAAGCTTACGCATTGAATAAAAATATGCAATAAAGTGCTTTTTTATTTGTTCCATTGTCGCTGAGTTTTATCAAGCTGTAAAACTGCAGTCAATGAATATAAGCAGACTTTAGTAGCTACATATGTCTATGCTATAATTATCTTTTTGTATCGATGCTTGTAATGAAAACAACATAAGCAATGCACTATCGGCTATTAACTTGTGTGTTTAGCTTATTCTCAATTTAATTTTCATTGATGAAAAATAATTTTTAATAGAACCAAAGGAGATTTAAAAATATGTCGATCCCTCGTTTTCTAGTAACATAGCTCTGAAAATATGTCTCATGTTTTCTTGGTTTGGTTTCAATAGACGAAAAATAAACGACAAAATTATATACTAGCTATTTTAACTAAAAACCTAATAACATATTCTTCTAACAATCTTGTAAACATGGTATCTATCTTACGAAAATAATAAACTTATTATAATTATTATTGATAAATAAAATGAAGTCATAGACATAATGGAAATAAGTTCAAATTTACTTTTTTTTTTATTATTTTCATATTTATATAAACAACACGTGAGCATGTATTATAATATAAAAAATAACTTAAGTTCCTATCAATCTACATCATTTAAATGCTTAATTTGATTTCAATCGTACAAATAATCTTCTTGAATTTTTATTTCAAGAATCAGTTTACTCCTATTTATTGTCAATAGCAATGAGATTAGTAAGATTTGTAATTTGATATTCGCCTGAATTATCACAAAACAGAAAACATTAATATAAATCTTAATCTCTCGACAACATGCGTTTATTTACAATCATTTTTTTCTTGAGAATTCATGTTCAATGTTTTATAAATCTTTTGCAGGCAAAAGACAATATTTTTTACTATGATAGTAAATACTATGTGAAATACCCAAGGGAGAAAAAGAGTATTTCTGTATTTCTAAATATTTCTGAGTATTTCTACGTATTTCTAGGTATTTCAGAACTCCAGAAATACATAGAAATACATAGAAATACTCAAAAATATTTAGAAATACAGAGCTCCGCGGGGGGGGGGGGGGGGGGGGGGGGGGGGGGGGGGGGGGG